CAGAAAATGATCAGTGACAAATAACTGGATTATCGCTATCACTAAAGATCAATCAGATTCATCACTTTGTTCCATTTCTGGTGCCTCACTATCAGCTCAAGATAAAAACTGATAAACAAAACCAAAAACATTAGTTCCGTTTGGAGTTCCAATGTGACGTCTGCGGCTCTCGGGGGAAGTAAAGCTTGGGAGGAGTGCGGATGGGATAAAGAACAAATAAATTAAATATCAGTCAAAGTGTTCATCATCAAATGAAGGTTTGAGAACCTATGATCCATATAAGGATTTCAGCTCAGATCAAAACAGGCAGAAAATACTGAGAGGGTCTCCAGGCTACCTTTCCTGGCTGACCTGGAGCTGGACAAGTAGTATTATTTCCACTCAACATAGCACAAGAAACATTTAAAATAGACAAACAAATCTTTGCACGTGCCTGATCACTGAGCCTTAGTAGATGCCCTTTTTATAACCATGATATATACACCAGCTAACTAGCTTTAATGAACCTGTTTTGTTTTTTTACTGTGATCTTTTTTTACTGCCCTGCAAGCGCCAACAAACATTTAAATTATCACTGAGACGTTTGTGTTTAAGAGAGATCTGCTGCCACCTGGTGGAAAAGCATTTAATTGTGCCGCCAGTCTCCGCATCGACAAAGAAAAAAATAGGTGAACAGGATACGGATGGCTGCTTTATCCAACTGTGTCAGACTCCCACACAATGGGCTCAGTGTGAAAGTTGAAAGCACAATAAGTAACACCTTCTAATGACGCATCACTTTGTTTCCCCAGTGTATTGTTTTGAAAATAGTACAGCTGTTTCTCTAGATATCCCACATTTCCGTCTTTTTTTAATTCAGAATCCCTGTTCTAAAGCTCTGAGAAGTTCTTTCTCCTAAGTCAGAATTTGACCCCCCCCCCCCCCCCCCCCCTACACATCTCAATTGAATTTATTGGCCCCAAATAATAAAGCTTACAACCACCATTTGTCTATGGTTAACATTATAATTCTCGTGTTATGGCCATATTATGCGGTTTCTATTGGGATTCTATTCTCGTTTGATACAATAAACCCGGAAGTGACCTCAATTGTCATAACATAAATATCTTAGAATCGATTAAAAAAAACATAACCTAACCAAAACAAATTGTACGTAATGACAGACCCCGACTTTGAACAATCTGGTTTAAATAATAAATGTATTTTGTTTCATCAAATGATTCTGTTTTTCTGAGTTAAAATTACACAAACCTGCTTTCAGGAGTGAAAACGAGATGATTTGGAATCTTGTTATTAAAGTGATTAAATGAACGAGGTATACCTGAACGCATCACATACGTCCGAAGTGTTGCTACCGCTAGTGCAATGATGTCACTTTACGGTCTGTCGGACGTTCCGGCATCATCATCATCACCGTAAGCTGGTCCACTGCTTGCTGTATGTGAAGAAGGAGGAGACGGAGGAGGAGGGACTGCAGGAAAAGTGTGTGTGTTTACACAGACGGCAGAGTGCCTGGGGAATGGTAGAGGAGAGGAAGTGAGCCGGCTCTGTGTCTGCCTGCTCCAACTTCCTGCTCTGAAAAAGAAAAAGAGAAAAAGCGCAGGATCCGATTTCAGTTCGACAGCACAACTGTGAGGAGTCAGCATGGAAAAACAAGGAGACTTACGAGATTCACCCTAAAACTTCACAAAGGGAGAAAAGACAAAGTCACAGATCGCAGGTAAAGTTTTTAAAACTTGGTTGTTGTTTTTTTTTTTTTCTTTAGTGAACACAGAGGTGTGTTGTGAGATGCTTCAGTAGCAGTCTGACGTTTTTACTGTAGACTATTGTAAACCGTCTGTCTAGTGTTAGTTTGAGCGAGAGAAATTCGTGTTGAAGTTTTAAACTCTAATTTTCCTGTGGACACTCAGTGTGTCGTCGTCTTCCGGTCTGAGTAACGTGTTGAAAATGAGTCAGTGGAGCGGAGGAGCGACCATAAACCGTCTGTGGGCAACTGTTGATGCAACTTTAAGCTCCCGGATATAGACATCGTTCTCCTGACAATCAAATCTGGCAACCCGAACAAGAGACGCGATCTGATATTATTTTACTTATTTATATTCTTCGATTTATTCATGTTAGTCTTAAGAGGATTGGACGTTATTCCAAAGTACAGGTGTATAAAGTTCGCTGTTGTCTAATTTGTTTTTTTTCAGTGTGAAAAATACAACATAAATTTGAAAGAAGTCTGAATAGAAAACAAAATAAAAAATATTCAACAGCCACATTTCATACAGTTTAATGAAATAAAGAGAGCTTGTAAATGGTTAGGAAAATTAAAAAAAAATTCTAATAGTTTATAGTTCAGGTTTTTAAAAAAATCAATACATGTAGGCCAATTTATTTTTTTTAAAAAATCAATACATGTAGGCCAATTTTAAAAATATATTGCAAAAATGTCAATAGCTAACAATGGCAAAATATAACTTATAGTTAACCCAGATTTACATTCCCCTGGCCAAAACAGCTTAAGGTTGGCCTGGAAAATGCTGACTCTTCTGGCATTTCTTAATAAGCATTTATAATAGTATGTTGTTTATCCACCTTCACTAATTAAACATCGCAGTGCTAGTTTCTTCCCTTTGTAAATGTTCCAATATCTGGAAAAACCCACAACAATATTGTTAGTCCTTTTCATTACTATGTCTGATGTTATGGTACACTGTCCACCTTGGTTCAGATATATATTTTTATGCCCCCCTGACGAATTTTCCAGCATGTACGAACAGGAAGAGAGCACATTTAGTCATGGCTAAGTAATGTCTGCACACACCATCTAATCACATTAGGAGTTTCCGTTCAGCCAACACAGTGGACGTCTTTGTGCTCACAGCGTGGCTCCTCACTCTTGAGCATCCACAGCAGGGCAAACCATCGCACAGCAGAATCGACACAATGCCTGTGTCGTGTTCTTAGAAAGTCTTCTACCTTTTTTTTTTTTTTTTTTTTTACAGCAACTTGAACTTGTACCTGCGTGTGACTGACAGAAGATCACTATCACTGTCAGTCTTGCAAGGTCAGCACTGTCAGTGTGACTGACAGAAGATCTATCACTGTCAGTCTTGCAAGGTCAGCCATCAAACTACTCGGCCATTTCCATTGATCGGTGCCTGACCAACAGATGGTAACTACACACGCTTTTCATTGGCGTTCACTTGAATCTATCATAAGCAGTAACATCTTTTCAATACTTGCAACGCATCTGGAAGAAGACATGTCTGAGACAGCAGTCAGTCACCAACAGCTGCTCGTAATAACGTTGTAGCTGACCGGCTGAATAATGTCTAGGGCTCCACCATTATATGAAGCTGGTATTCAAATGATGATCTGCATTCCACTAGTGGTACTTGGAGCTCCCTCTGTTGGTACCCAATATAATCATTAAGTTTTCTTTAACTGCTTTTGGCAAAATAGCGGAGGTATGTACAATGAAAAACTAGAAAGAAATACTGCAGTTGCGGTTCCAAACTGGAACACTCAAAAGAGAAGCGGGAACATGGGGAGAACATAAACGTTACAAGCAGCCCTGCAGAGACCACAGTGGGCAATTTGCTGAAGTTAGAACCAGTGTGTGTGTGTGTTTGGGGGGCACATTGTGTTTTAGTACAAGTTATAGTACTCCTTGATTTATAATGTGGTTTTGTGCATAAATAGGTGTGGTGTACCGTTCCTAGCTCAACAGGTTACGTTATTTTAATGCTGGACATACTGGTTTTACTTCATTGGTACACACTGTAAGAGTTTGAGAACCAGACATGTTAAAAATATTACCACAATTTCAAAATCTGAACATCTATTTCATTTTGAAACATTACATCCTGCAACACGAGTTTTTGATTAGAACGATTTTCTACTAACATTTTTTTTTGTTTTCTTAAGCTATGATGAGGTGAGCTACTTTTGCTAACTGAGAAGCCTGGGATTTAACATAGCTACCTTTTGTTTGGATCGAACAGCATCCTTATGGTGCATTGGTGCCACCTTCTGGCAGTATTTGGAGCTGGTAAACATTCCAACCTGAAGCATCCCCAGTTGCTTGCTAAAAAAAAAAAAAAGAAGAGAAAACAAGGAAAACAGTCAGAGGGCAACATCCCTGATCAACAGTTCACCATGTAAAACCTTTGATAACAAATAATAAGTAATTGATTATGTAGTGAGTTGTACTTTATTGCAGAGTAATATACTTTTTCGACAACAGTAAAGGTCAGGCCACATTACCTTGTTCTTGCTGAGATTTCACATCTCTTTCCGGTGGCTGTCTGAGGTTGATTCTGAGCCACTCTAAGTGCAGGTCTCTCAGCAGCAGTTCCTCTGTGCTATTTAGAGCATCTTGCAAAGGTGAATGTTTATAAGTCACACCAGTCTAATTGCAGACCTCTGTCAGCTCTGCAGCTCTGCATTCAACAGCTCAACTTTGGCTCTAAAATGTTTAAAAGCCAAACCAAAATGAAGGTTCGGAGACAGTTAAAGGGTGGAGCTGTGGAAACAAGACAATGATTTGATCTTTTGACCCACTCCTCCCCTGAGACTTTGTGGGAAGTGTGGCAGGACTCGGGAAATGATCCCCTGCTGTCGGATCCTCTCTGCTCGCCATTTGTCCTTGAAAGTTGAATTGTAGGAAGTCCTGACTTTGACAGGTTTGTAGTTTCACATGGCAGATAAAAAAAAAAACTCAGGGGATCGCCGGTGTCGGAAGTGAGTTCCGCTCTCTCTGTCTCTGTAGTGAGGACAGTGATACTGTGTGCAGCGGTCCTGGAGGCAGGTTTGTTTGCCTTCATCTCCGTTTCTCTGATTGTGTGTCCTCTAATTACTCCTCACATCAATAGTCATACCAAAAATGATCAAGGTCGATTGGTTGTATAAGGCAGTGGAATGGGAGGATATGCCATAAAATTACTTCAAAACTAAGTAACAAAAAACTTCAAAACTACCATATACATACAGTGTTCTTAAAAATATCTACAAAACATGAACATTTAACCTCTAATCCTCCAAAACGGAACAGAAAACAGTTATTTTTAGAAACGGAAAATAGTCAACATGTTGCTTAAATCCAAAAATAAAGCTAATTATGCAAATAGCTGGGACCTAGCCAAAAAGCCACAAAGACAATAAACACCAATTTAGGAATAAGAATAGCTATGAACAGTAAGGAAAACCAAAGCCAAAATATAGAAATGATTAACAAAACTTGAGCAATAAAACTTAGCAAAACTTTGTGTTTAAAAATAACAATAATAGCTTAAGTTTAGCAAAACTTTGTGTTGATGTAATGGCTATGTATTATGTACAATAATTATTATTGACAATTTTGAAAAATAAATTAAATGAGAAACAAATGTGAATTTGGTTGTCTAGTGTCCTTCTGGCTGAATCAACTGGTGGAGCTCTTTATGTTTGTTACTGTCTGTTAGTTCGGAAACATTGGCCCCAGCATTATTAATATGTGAGCTGGTCACCGGCAGACAGCAGCTTCAAGGCTGCACATTCCTCTATTAAAGGAATAACCCGCCCTGGGCCCGTCATACTTCCTGTGGAGAGAGGGCCAGGTTGAACCACAGCATATTTCTGGCTTGAGCTGTTGTTCCTCCTTGTGAGTGTTTTCTTCTCTCTTTCTCTCTTCTTCTGCAATGTGTAACGCACAGTTCTTTTCATCACCAGTCACTCAGTGTAGAGGTTTGTGTTTCTTTTATCCAGCTGTCTTCAATTCTGTAAAATAATACGTGGAGAGGCTTCCAATGACCATTAAAATCAGCTTATCTCGTTCAGTCAACAACTATTTTTTGGATTGCAGGGCGGGCACTTAGCAAACAGCGACACCACAGTAGCTACTCGTCTTGGTTCGCTTTGATTTGTATGTGTGATCCAGTGGATTGTGCACATGTAGACGCGCTCTGAGGAACATCTTGAAGCTTTGACAATTGAGCAATCTTCTCCATGTGCGTTGAACTTTTCTTCCTTCCCCTCTTACATTCATCCGCGTCTGCCTTCAGGTATGGACAGCGCCATCACTCTGTGGCAGTTCCTGCTGCAGCTGCTGCTGGACCAAAGCCACAAGCACTTGATTTGCTGGACGTCCACAGATGGTGAGTTCAAGCTCCTGAAGTCGGAGGAAGTGGCCAAACTCTGGGGGCTGCGCAAGAACAAAACCAACATGAACTACGACAAGCTGAGCAGAGCCCTGCGCTACTACTACGACAAGGTAAATAATTTTTTTTTTTAAAATACTGTATTTGCGTGACAAGAAAAAAAAAACTTCTTATTGTGTCTCACTACTACATTTCTAACTCAAAAGTAGCAATAGCACAGACGTTAACCACAAAGGATAACCTGTATAATAACACACAAAATACCTAGAGCATGGAGGTCATTTGTCGCCACTCAACAGCTTTTGGCACTTAGCTGCGGCACTACTTTTGAAATGGCCATCACTTAAAGTAGGAGAAGCAGAGTATCACAGCAACGGTTAGATGACAACATGAAGTTATAAGGAAATCGCCTTATTTTGGGGGATGTAGCTAATGGCTGGCTGTTAAATACTATATGATGGTGGGTCTCTGCTCTAGGCTTAGAGAATGACAATGGGCAGGCGATGTAAGGATCGATGCTCAACTGCAGCAGCTTAGAAGAAACCTCGGTAAATAATTTAAGAACCCCACCCGTTGATGTTTACGGTGATAGTAGTCAGACGTCCGATTAAACAGTGCAGTCACGCAACAAAGTGCAGGGACTTTACTGTACAGTAGTCTGGGCTCCTACTCTTGATGATGTAGCAGTGACAATAACTGAGAGTTCAGGTTTGTGAAAAGATGCAGTACTTCTGTTTGTAGTACTTCTCTTGAAAACCCACAACCTCCCCCACTGACACTTCCACTTCCTCTTTCTCACCGAAAACACAGTAGAGTAAGTGGTGTATTACGATAACACAAAATGGTGTCATTGCAACTGATTGCCCCGTTGCCTGACTTTAATAACTGCTGTCATGTCACATGAGGTAATTGTCTATGTGCCGAGGGCGTTAATCATTCACGTTGTTTGTTTTCTGTCTTGCAGAACATTATTAAGAAGGTGATTGGTCAGAAGTTTGTCTACAAGTTTGTGTCCTTTCCTGAGATCCTAAAGATGGACCCACAGGCGGTAGAGATGGGCTTGGCCTCCGGACGCTTTCCCCTGCAGGAAGGAGACGTTCCTGACCTTGACGTGGAAGAGGAGGAGGAGGAAGAAGTAGGGAGTGGGGAGGAGGAGGCAGCAGCCCACAGGAGAACCCTGGCAGCACTGGGGGCTCAGCAGTGTCGCAATGACTACCTTCACTCGGGTCTTTACTCCTCGTTCAGCATCAGCTCCCTACAAAACCAGCCTGAACTGCTCCGTGCCCTGCGTGAACGCCAGGACGAGTCGCGCTCCGTCATCCGCTTCGGCACAAACGCCAACGAGAGGAGCTCACCACCTTCGGCCAAACATGAGACCTACTTCTCTAGGTCAGCCAGACTCCCCTCTCATTCCCATTCACCTCCTCTCCCTCCTCCTCACACACAGCACGGCTCAAGCTGGAGCCCTGCTGCGACAGTGAAAGAAGAAGAAGAGGAGGAGGAAGTGGAGGAGGACACTGACCAGACCCCTCAGCCCCTCAACCTCTCCTCTGGACAGAGGGAGCGAGCCCTGCAGCCTCCAGAGAAGAGAACCAGCACTAGTGGCAGACTTAGTTCTGTTAATAGTAGTAATCAAGGAGATGGACTCCCACCAAAGAGCAAAAAACCCAAAGCTTTGGAGATCTCACCATCCCTGCTGCTGGCAGGAAGTGACATTGGCTCCATCGCCCTTAACAGCCCAGCCCTTCCGTCTGGTTCCCTGACTCCAGCTTTCTTCACCACACAGGTGAGATGAAGGACAGCACATCCACATGCTGGCTGGAACACCACCAAATGTTTACGCACAAATTAATATCAGGTGCACCGTAGATTCAATAGTAGAAAAAAATGGGGTTTGTACTTTGGAATCATAGATAGGAAAATAATATTTCTACAGAAATAAACTTCCAGATACACTATCGTAAAAACAACTATTTTACCAGAGGTCACAACAACCCCCAAAAAACACCAATAATCCTATTAAATCACTTGTCTTTGAAACCATTTCTTGGTTTCAATGTCGAGGTTTCAGAGACTGTATACGGTGGTTATTTTTACCTTTTTCGGTCAATAGTCTCTATTTAATGCGCATTTAAAGATAGCAATAAAATAAATCGCTGTTTTTGTTGTTTTAAATCGACACCTACATGTTGGTTGCAAAGAAACCTAAATACTATGAAATCAACTGGTACACGTCCACAATACAAAGAAATACGAAATGACCAATAACTGAAAACGTTAAAACAACAATGTAGCTTAAAGATACGATGGTAGTGATGACTTAAATATAGGGATGTTTTTTTTCCTCGACTCTTCACACACCTGTACCAGTCTGATCTATTAGCGAACTAGTCTAAACACCGAAACAGTCGGCGTCCTTCTTCACTTCCTACTTCACTTTATTAAACACCCAAAGAAACAGTGGATATTTCTTTCTATGTATAAATGAGTATGAAAAAATGAGATTTTACCTTTAAAAAAGTGCTGGCTTGTTTTGGGTGTAACGGCATTTCGCGGTAATAAAATCTACCGAGATTTGTAGCAACGGTGAGACAGCGTGCGTATCACTATTCCGTTTCTGTTAGCAGGACTTAGCACTGAAACAACACTGAAACTGGCAGAGGACGCCAGTCTGAAACTTTTATATCACCTATTAGACAGAAAAATAAACAGTAAACCATTACAGCTTAACAGACAAGACACGAACGGCTTTTACTTTCTACCGCACTACTTCAGATAACGCTTTGGAGCGTAGGAAATGACAAAACTCTCGTTGAAACGCAAGGCCTTGTCACTCCTTTACGTCAAACGTATCCATCCGCCAAATAAACGTCAGTCAATTTGTCATTTAAATAAAACTGGATGGATAATTTTAGGCATTGGTCTAAAAATTGAAACATTGTAAACAAACATGTTTCACATATATTTACAAATACATTTTATAGTTATATATTATTATTATTAAATTACTAAAATCTCATCCTACAATAACATGACATGACATGCATTACATGAAATACAACTTCACAACTTATTAAAATAGAACCAAAACAAGGAAAGAGCATCATATCTGTAATATAGATCAGTGTTAGCACCAAAACATTTCAATTCTGTTCTTGGATTATAACCTGGATTCATCTAAAACGTAACCCTGACCTCACATTCTCAATTATCCTGCTGAGCTCTACGCATGCAAGCATACATAGAACCTTCCTGGTGGAGATTAGTTGGGGTTTTCACACTGAGGTGCCTGATGGTGCGTCGGACGATTATCCGCACATTCAGAACCCATTTTCTGTTTATTGGAGCTGCAAAAAAAAAAAAGTGGGATGAGAGAAAAACAGGCGATTTACAGAAAATCCACTGCAAGCACAACCTATGAGAGCAGGGAAGAGGCCCTAAGTGATGCCATATGCTGCGATAATTCCATTAATAAAGGGAGCAGGGCCGGTCCCTGTGTAGCACTGGCTCACGTCTGAGGTGACACGGGGGGAAGTACGAGGGGGAGGAGTGAAGAGCAGCGAGAGAAGTGGAAATTGATTTCATATGTTTTCTTTCTAGTCTGCTTTCTGAGCGCTGCAGGACCCCTCTTCTTCTCTCCCGCCCACCATCAACAACAACCCCCACTGTCCACCACCACCACCATCTCTCCTCCCCACGTCAGCGCTGTATTCTGGTGGAGGAAAAAAAAAACACACCACATACTTCCTTCCTGCTTGGTCTAGTTTGTTTTTCCAAGTGGCAATACGTTAACAATCGCAGCACAGTTTGCCCTATCACCAATCTGAAAACCTCCTTCTGTGCTGGTCATTTCAAGAAATGTAAATGTTCATCATCTTCTCTGGTTTCATCATCCTTCCTTTCTTTCCTCCACAGACTCCCTCGGGTTTGTTGCTGGCTCACAGTCCACTCTTGTCGGGAATCCACTTCTGGAGCAGCCTAAGTCCTGTGGCACCGATCAGCCCTGCCCGGCTGCAGGGCCACAGCTCCCTTTTTCAGGTAGGAGACACGTTCAGGGAGGTGTGGGCGTGGTAGGGTGAGATGAGCTGGAGATAATCATTTACCGGCACTGAAACAGAGCAGGAAGTTCACGCTGAAAGCAAAATTCACCCACAAAAAACAAAACAATCTTCCCAGCCGTTGTTAAATCAGCAGAGTGGAGATAACGAAACTTTGTAAATGACTCTTATCAGTTTTTATGCCCCGCGATTCAGCAGATTAAAAAAAAATAATGTTTTGTAGTTGTTGTGCAGAAGAGCAGAGACTTTAGTGCTGGTGAAACTGGTTGTGACTGAGTGAGCAGGTCCAGCAGAGGTGTCCTGTTTCAGCTCTGCTGAGAGGGAGAGGAAATCCTGTGAATACTTCCTGTTTGAGCCCAGGGGAGCCAGTCTGAACAGGGTGGACTGGTTTGAGAGCTGCTCCTCATTTGTGAAATCATACAGAAACACACACACACACCACACCCCCACACAAACACACACAGGGTTCTGTGTTCCAAAAACCAGTGTTGACTGCTTCTCCTGTTGTAGAGCTCGGAGACAAAGAGGAAGAGGTACAATGAATATAACAAGAATTAAAAACAGGAAACCAGAGCAGTGACAATGCTGCAGTTCCTCCTCCTCCCCTCACTAACTCTAAGCCCCTTTCTCTTCCTCCACAGTTCCCCAGCCTAATCAACGGACACATGCCTGTCCCTCTGCCAAACCTGGAAGGAACTCCCTCCTCCTTGCTCCTGTCCCCCGCCACCCACAAGTCCTGATCCAGGGTCTGCGAAAAAAGAAGAAAAAAAAAAAATCTTCATCCGTCTCCTGTTGAAAGTCTCCGTCGTCATCATCAGAGTCAGCAGCACGGGCTTCTTTTTAAATTCCGCTTCAGACAGGTTCGAGGAGACGGTGTGTGTGTGTGTGACCTCACTTTTTTTTTTTGCACTTGAGTTTCTTCAGATTTCCAGTGGTTGAAAGCACTTGGTGAAAGCCATTCTGCCACAGTGTGATTGTGGCCCTTTGTGATAAAAATACAGCACATAATGTGACCACACTCCAGGTGGACAACAGTAGGACGTTTAGCCCAGCACAAGTCACATTGGTGCAAAAGCAAAGCTCACAAAGAGACAAGAGGTAAGTCCATATGAGTGGAAGGTGCAGCCCACCCGAGTAGTGATGCAGCTTCCCAATACTCAGGGCTCCTTCCAGCAGAATAAAAAAAAAAAACCCCGTTCACTCGATCCATTAAACAGAATGTAGTTTAATTTAATTTAATTCCCCGTCATTTGACAGACCTCAGTCCAAAAGAACAGGCCTTTAGTGGATCAGCATCTGCAACAACGGTGAGATAATGTTGTTCGAAACATGGTGCGACCTGATATTAACGAGATAAATTGTAAATACTCAATCAAACTGAATACACGTGGTGTCGTGGTTGTTAAGTCTATTTCAGTACATATGTCACTTTTTAAAAAAAAAATGGTTGCAAGACACAAGTATGACTTTCATTCATATGGAGTTACCAGCAGAAAAAGCACTTCCTGTCTCTTTTTTTTTTTTTTTTTTATTTTTGCTACACAAGAAATGAGTTACCCAGTTCAGTAGCCGAAGGCTAGCTAGCTAGTTGCTAGTCTAGAAAAGTCATTTGTTTTCAACCTTACAGGAAAGTCTTTTGTTTTATTATTAAACTGTTGATCATGTGTGAAACAGCTTGTTGGACTGGTATTGAATTGTACTGTGTTGTATTGAACATGTATGTATTGTATGCACTATGCTTCTCAGATATTACCGGCTGTGCCTTGTTGTCTTACGTTTCTCTTTATTTCCAAATCCTTTCAATGAAGACGAGATTTAAAAATCAATGGAAAACTTTTGTATCACTTGTAATTTTTTTTTTTTTATAACTATGACTTGGTATACAGTATGTATCCTGTATTTTTTTGTATTGCAAAGAACGTCATGTCATTTTCAATAAAATGGGCATCGAGTGCTTGAGGACTGATGCCTAAAAATTCACATCAAGTCAGGTGAGCTCTGTTTAAACCTTTGATTTAATTTTTTCTGTACTCTGGAAGAAAAAAAAAAAACCAACTTAAATACGGGAGGGCGTCTGCAGTGAATCCCCACACCAATAACAGTTATCCACAAATAAAGTTCAAGAACATGATACAAAACATCTCTGTAACACTGTTAAATAGACTGACATGTGGCCATTTTCTATGTATGGAGGGCAGGAGGACAGATTGTGCTCCCTGTGACTGTGTGTTTCCTCACACAACACAACAGACATGGAAAACAATGATGGAGGTGATCCAGATCAGACAGAGCCATGTTTTTTTTGTTTTGTTTTACACAGATGATGGAGATGGAAATGGCAGAACATCTGAAAAGGCAGCATCACAGATTCAACCACCGGAAATGAACTTTGCTGCCTCCTCAGTGACTGATGGAGAGGGAGTGTAAAGGGAAAAACAAGGATGTGGAGTTCGTTCTGGACTTCAGATGTTTTTGGAGGCACAATCTCATCCCATAATGCCCTTTTTAAAATTCCTAGGTTGCTGTGTTTCCTCCTACATTTGTTAATTGGTCACAACAGAGACCACAGCATCCTGGAATGACATGCCAGTTATCAGGCTTTTTTTTTTTTTTTTTTTTCCCCTACAGACCTTGGCATCGTTTGTCCTTAACCTCGATGTTAGAAGACAATTATCACCTTGGCATCGTTTGTCTTTACAATTAACCTCGATGTTAGAAGACAATTATCGGCTATTTAAACAAAGCTGGCCTCAAAAACCTTCAGGGTAAAGCGCTGTGTGTAGTTTGTGCAGCTGAGGACATCAGAGACAACATGAGAACCTTCAGAGCTGCTACACCAACTCTGTCTCTGTTTCTGCATCACAAACGCAAACAGCTGGAGCTGCAGATTTTCCGTATGAAAATGAAAAAGAAAAAAAAAAAAAAAAAAGTTGACTAAAAATTTCACCACTTCAAAAAAAAAATAAAATTAGAACTATATACATTGCATGTACTCATTAAAGTGACTGAGCCCATTAGAAATCTAAACAGTAGTTGGATTTTAGCAGCAAATTCTCTTCATAATAAATATAGATGTACAGTATACAAAGGTCTCTCTTTCTAGGCCAGGTTCAGGCCAAACACCGGGGAGGTGGCTGGAGGTGTGGATAATGTTGACGAGTTTCCCAAAGCAGTTTGAAGGCTTAACAATGATGTTGGTGCTCAACGCCAAAATCCATCCAGTGACTGGTCCACTGATGACAATGTACAGCAGGGTTCCTCTTTCCCACAAAGATAAAGAATCAAGTCTAAAACAACATACTTTGTCTTCTGCTTTTACCAGTGCCTGGAAGACAAAGACACAGAACCACATAAATAACACAAAAACAAAAACAGCCCAAAGTGGTGGCAGGTGATCAGCAGAGCTAGCTTTGCCTAGCTATAGCCTTGGAGGAAAAATGTTTTTTTTTTTGTTTTTTTTTGCCATCACAAAGATAAGACAGCGAATCAGTGGTATTAATCATTAAACCTTTTGTTTATGTTTCCTAAAAGTGCAACGCATTAATTGTTGGTTCATCCCAGAGTCACATATAGAGACAAACAATTATTACTTCTTCTTCTTCTTTTCCTTTCCGCTTCGTCCCTTTTTCAGGGGTTGCCACAGCGAATCAGCGTTTTCCCATCTCTCTCCCCCGTTCTCTGCGTCTTCTACTCTGACTCTGACTATCTGCATGTCCTCCCTCGCTAATTATTTCATTATTTAATTAGTAGTATTGAGATGACGTGTTTAATAATAATCTGCCCTCGATGTTGTGAAATTGTGGAAATAACCGACGATGACGACCGTGGCCCCCCGCAGGTGTGACGGTTAAATGCAGAATGGAGGCGCAGGACACTGGTGTGACGGTTAAATGCAGAACGGAGGATTTATTAATAATGAATCACATCAGTTATCCAGTACATTACTCCTCACCTGACTCAGGATAGGACGAGTTCCTGTAACCAGGATCCCTCTGCAGATGCACCTCCTTCAGTGTGAATATAGACGCGCCTGCCAACCATAAAGAAAGAGTGGTTTCAACAGTGATCAGATGTCCTGCCAGGAGACTTGTATCTCTGTTATGGGGCCGTTAGAGTTCCTGGCTGTACACTGCTGGACTCTTTAACTTGTACCAAGCGGAGGCTGCCAGGCCCAAATTAGCGTGCTGTTATTTTATTACTCACTCTCTGGCAGTGTGTGCACACGTGGCCCCAGGCTCCTGAAGTAGGGCTGTCTCATTGCTTCATCTGCAGAGATCCTCTTTTTAGATTCATACTAATGTTTGGGCATTGAAAGAAAAAAACAAAACAAAAAAAAAAGTTATTAAAGAACAGGGGAAAAAATAGAAAAACAGGATGTGATCGCACGTATTTGTTGTTGATTTGCTTTGATTCACTTCCTGCCAAACCACTCAGGTCCTGATGTAGCTGTGAATTGTGTCATGCTGTTTTTAAAAGGGGGGCTGTTAATGCCTGACAGATACTGAGAAACTCACTTTTAGGAATGACATCAGCAGGTCAATGCCATCAGTGTCCAACCTGCACGGAGAAAGAGGGGGAGAGATGTGAGGGAGAGGGAGTCACACAGACACTGGTGAGTGCAAGGAAGGAAGAGAGTCAACTATTCCACAGGATTTCCTTACAGGAAGCGACGGAGCGCACACACACACCGCTAACTAAACAAACTGAAAACACACACGTGTGACTCTGTGAGCGCCGAAAAGCCCCTCACTTGACTTAAACCTGCCAATCACTAACATTTGTTGGCGTTTCTCTGTTGAAATAATATGAGCTTAAAACCCCCGAGAATGTCGAGCAGATTTCTTATATATACCGAATGCTACATTTTAATCAACAACAAACCATTTTCACAGCATTTTAAAATCCCCCAAAAAAACACTTTACACTTACTTCAGAGTGTGAACTAAAGAGCCACACGTGAGCCCTACAGATTGTGAAGTAAGTGAGTCTGAGAGTCTTACCGAGGGGCGTGGTTTATTAGGGGCTGGGTCTTATACTTGGAGAACTTGTAGGTCTTAAACTCGTCTACAGAGGATATTCCAGGCCAGCTGTCCTCTGTCGGAGTGCCTGTGGAGGGACATGTCATGGACAGTGTTGGTGTCAGGCCCTGCTGTGACAGCTGGGAGTTGGAGTGGGTCATGAGGCCACTGAGGCTACATGCCAGGGGTTAAAGACATTAAAGACTCAAGCTTGGAGTTCGAGCTGCGTTCTTGTCAGAAAGACAGGGGGCAGCACTCACCTAGCAGCCTGAAGATAAGCTGCAGCTCGTCCTCCACGGTGGAGCCTGGGAACAGGGGTCTGCCGGCAGCCATCTCATAGAAGATACAGCCCACACCCCTGTGTAGGAGACATTAAATTCGAACATGTTTTGTCTGATCCTTGAACATGAGGCGGCTACGAGCTGCCGCTGCTTCAGGACGTCTCACTCCACTGGGAGGCGCTTGATTAATCGATGTCCGAGGGTATTATAGCCTCATATGTTTAACACCTCATATGGTTCCAACGCTGAACTCGTTGGAAGTCAGCTTCATTTTCACATAATTCAAACACAGTCTTTACAATGAAACCCACTTTGACAGAAAACTGAAGTTGACGTTTAGGTTAAAAAAAAAGTCCAAATGGAGGTCAGGCCACTCACCACATATCTATCTGTGTGGAGTACTCAGACGAGCCCAGCAGAACGTCAGGAGGTCGATACCAAAGTGTCACCACCTCGTTAGAATAGGTCTTCGTCGGCACAGACTTTGCCCTGGCCAGACCTTGGCAGTGAAGAGGGAAAAAAAAGAATGAAAACATTCAATTCGTGTAAGAAAAACGATTGATGGACAGCATCAAAACATGACACTCTTATCTAAACTCGAAAAAGGGCTGGGGTAATGATAATGGATTTGTTTACCAAAGTCAGCCAGTTTGAGTTCTCCTCTGTCATTGATGAGCAGATTCTGAGGCTTCAGGTCTCTGTGCAGAACTTTCCGTCTGTGACAGTAGGCCAAGCCTCGCAAGATCTGGTACAGAAAGATCTGGAAAGAAATTGCAAATGAATAATTGTTGTCCAAATGAGGACATGTTGTTCAAATACGAGGCTAAATGTTAATGCTGGTGTAAAGTAAGAGCAGAGATTGGATGAAAATCAGGTGAAACCGATGTTAACATGAACTGTTAACACAGTGGTTCTAAACCTTTTTTGACTTGTGACCCCAGAGATACTTTTTCCTCTAGAATTAGTTTCATCACAGTGGAAGTTGTTTAAGATTCCGTGTGGTGTATTTAATCATAATTTTTAAAGAACAATAATTAGATTTAATTGTTTTGGTTTTTTTTTTATTTGTGAGTGCTGAAATTCAACCATCTGTGAGAGGAACAAATGTAAATTGCCTGGCCTGATCTTAGCACATTATAGGGAGAAAATTAAATATCTTATTTGGCTATGCCGGTTCCCTTCTACAGAGGAAATACAAGGATCAAATTGTTATTAAAAAGGAAATATATCATGTATTGTAACTTGAATTCCTGAGTTATTTTAATATATCTCTATTGTTTTGTAATATTTTTCACCATAATGAATGAGTGAAAAATGGGTCTTACTGAACCGCAACAAAATACTTTCTAAACTCTACCACCAGAGGGCAGAGTAACTGTATTTCTTATTGACGTTACATCCTGGGGAGTTAATGAAGTTGGCTGGGACAGCAGCAGAATGCCTGTGCCGGCTCACCTTGACATTCAACATACTCAGGATGTTCCCACAGTCGTCCATGTACTGCTTTAGGTCTTTGTCCTGGACAAGGGGGGGGAGAGAGAGATAGAAAGATAGAAAGAGAGAGAGAGAATGGAGAAAAGAAATAGAGAAAAGCAGATGGAATGAGTATTATACAACAGGGAAACATCTACTGTATAATCCCTATTCTGCTGAGGCTCATGTAAATCGATGATGCAACATATTTATTTAAGCAAACTAACATGTGACTGGTGAACAGAGTGATGTCACAGGCTCGGCTGATCTTACCAGGTACTCGAAGACAAGGGTGAGGGATTTGTCCGTGTGAATGATGTCGTGCAGGGTCACAATGTTGGCATGTTTCAGGTCTTTGAGTAGTGACACTAGAGGAAAACAAGAAGATTGGACACTTTTACTGATCAAAGTTTCATGGTTTTAGTTGTATTGCCATTTGGCTGTAAATCCAACAATAATATATATATACATATATACATACATATACATATATACATACATATAGTACATATACACATATGTACATATACATACAGTATAAATACACATATATATATATACACACATATATACATACACATATATACACATACATATATATACATATACAGTATACATATATACATACACATATATACACATATATATACATATATACACACATATAGTACATATACACATATGTACATATACATACAGTACATATACATACAGTATATATACACATATATACACATACATATATATACATATACATATATACACACATATATACATACATATATACATACAGTACATATACATACAGTATACATACACATATATATATACATATATATATACATATACATGTATATATATATATACTGTATATACACACTTTTTTTTCCTCTGCTTTGCCTCACAGTTGTTGCTGTAAATTTAAATTTAGCTGCAGATTTTAAAACACAATCACAACTACATGCAGTACTAATCAGGAAAGCCTGAGTGTGAGAAGTCCTAGTGTGAATGTATTTAAGAATAAAGGCTGTGATGTCAAACTGATGTGACTGGTTAACTGTAGGGCAACAAAAAAAAAAGTCAGCTTTCCATCTCAGAGCTGAGACTAGTAATGGTTTCAATAATTCAGACTAACCACAAAAACACTTCTCAAGACTGGGCATCATCCTGACAGCAGTCAGACAACACCAGAAAAGGATCTGATTGGTTGTTCTTGGTGACCAGTCCTACCTTCTCGTATGGCCGTGCACGGTGCTCCTTCCTCATGCTCCAGTCTGATCTCCTTCAGTGCCACAAGGTTGTCCGTCAACTTACTTCTTCCCTTAAATACTGTTGCGTAGGTGCCCTGAAAGACAAAGTCGAACTTCAATACGACTGAACTTAAATCCAACCCAAGCATGAAGATCATTTGAAAATCGTACATATGTGTTTGAAGCTCCTTGATTTATAACATTGTATGACATGGCGGAGTCAACAGTTAGTGTTTCCTGTATGTCCGAGGGTCGGACGTTGACAAAACACAGGTTAAAATTCTAACAGAATCCATCCAGAATATTACAACTGCAGTTATTTTGGCACTGATTCTGGCATGAAACTGTTCCCAAGATCCTTCATAATATCCGAATATTAAAATATGAATATTTTTTTGTTCTTGCCCCATGAAGGATCCACACTTAACATTCCTAACAAAAAACTCCAGGTCCCGTACCTCTCCCAGTTTGTCCAGCTTGATGTAGGTCTCCAGCTTCCCAAACCCGATTTCTGACTGGAGAGGACAGAAGAACAGACAGCACTGATGCTGGAACATCACGTCTTAATTTCAGGTTTACAGACACCACACCATGGCCTTCGGTGAGCTGCACAATACTCACACACATCTCTATCACCGCTAATGGGTTGTGACAAAAGGAAAATGTCTTTCTGCTCTTGCACAGAAAGTGTAAATGACTTATTCATTTTTTTATTTTTCATTTTTAGAAATTTTTTTTTTGGCCCTGTCTGTTTAAGCCCCTCGACCAAATGCACTCTGCAGATCACTGATCTTCGTCCTTTTCTGTCTTCCTCACCAGTGATGCTCGGCGGGAACGTCGGCTCAGGGGCTGGTCAAACGGTGGGCTGCTCAGCTGTAGCTTCTCCAGGTATCCGTCGGGTATCCGGATGTCGGCCGGAAGAGACAGCCGTTTGTTCAGGTCCTGCAGACACCAAAACAAATATTTAAAATATTTAATATTTAAAAATAAAAAAAATCAATGAAAACGCTGTCAGCATACAGCCAGAAACCAGGAAGAAACACCAACATGACTGACAACCAAATGGCCTCTGTCCAGAGTAAACCCCGGTGAAACTGCAAAAATATGAGCCGGCAACAGAGAGCGCATTGTGTGTGCGATTAAATACACATTCACCAGCAAGGATCTATACAGATCTGTACAGCTGAGCAGCATAAGAAGAAGAAGTACGAGTCCTTCAGCTGCAGGGTCTGGATGTTCGTTACTAGGTGATGTTTTTCTCGCGCTGTTGATTTTATTATTTTTGCTTTTGTGTGTTCTCAAAAAAAAAAAAAACCCCAGGACAGTATAACATTAGTGCTGTACTTTAGTGCTTCTGTAAACATGCACTGCCAAGCAAACAGGAACAGTAACAGTCGACGCACGCACGCATCCATCTGAAACACTGACGCCGGAGCAGCCTTAGTCTCAGCTGTTCTTCAATAAAACCTGACTTACAGGACGGATATTAAACACACAGAGTGACAGTGCATGAGCTAAAGGAAGTGGCTCCCCCCCCTCCCCCCCACCCCACCCTTAACCAGCCACTGACTTTGACCACGAACTGACCTGAAATATTAAGAGACATTACGAGGCCAGGTAACGACCTGCAATTGGTTCCTTTTTATTTACAGCGTGCGGACACGACTGATGAGACGTCGTTTCGATGACGGGATCCAAGGGGGCGGGAGGGGCTCATTGTGAGTGTGAAAGTATTTCTTGATGTTTTTTTTTTACCGCCCTCCTTCACTGCGTTCCTGTGGAGCTTCCTCTTTGTTTAAGTCGACTGACACCATAACAACATTTCCTGTGTTACTGAACGTGTTTTATTCAAAAAAAAATTACTAAAGAGACCTTTACCGTGAAATGCACAGAATTGCATCATGGGGGGGAAGTGCTTAATTAATAAGCATTCCGTGAAGTTGTCTGATAATGACTTGAACTTTCATGGGTTCGTGGTACAGCCGTAGGGGCTTAAAGTTTTATCCATGTGGCGGGGTGGTTAAATACACACACACTCCACATTGTCTCTATGTCTGTGCTAAGATTATTGTTAATCCCCCCTTCCTCTTACCCCCTTACCCTCGCCCGTTTCCCCGCCTTTCTTACCCTCCAACTGCTTAAAGACTACCTCCACCACCTGTGATGTAACAGCGGACACAGTGAAGTACACCCAAGTACAAATACACGCAACTTTGAACTTTCCACGCATTTGAACAACAGGCTCATGGACGAATGTGTAACCGAAGACTGGTGCACAGCTGAAACATGACAGGGACTCCACTAATAATAGCTTTAACCCCAACACAGACAACAGACATGAAAGAGACCAAGAAAGAAGTCGGAAAATGGGGGGGGGATAAATAAATGTTATAAATAAACGCAAGATACTAAAAAAAAAAAAACCTAAACTGAACTACGAAAAGCCATGTTCGATTTAAAGGATTCAAAGAAAAGTTTAATTTATAGAACGTCCTGTTACTGCAGAGGGTTTAAATATTTAGAACGACACACAGCATACATAAAACTTTCTACAATGTTGCTGAAGTTTTAAGAAACCCATGACGGATCTGCGTGTACTGCGCTGGTGTACTTCCCGTCCCGTCCCGTCTCAGCCTCACAGGACTCGGGTCCAACATTTTCGATGTTTATTTAAAGCTCAGCAGTTGAATTGTCAAACCGTGTCCTCTCTGACTCCGACTTAGCCTCTTAGCACGACATCTGACTCCTCTGTCTTGGAACCACGCCACGTGGGGGAAGTCTACAGCCAGGTCAAATGGTTTTGTGTGGACCTATTCATCTCTGACTAAAATGTAATGATTGGAAATATGTTAATTAAGATTTTCTGCAAAAACTATTTGTTCAGCACTTGAAGAAAAAAAGAGACTGATGCCTCTGGTTTAACTGTTAAGTGTTAAGTAGCCAGAGTAGCCAAATTTTTTTTTTTTTTGGCTTGTATTAGAGGTGAAACGTCTTCTTTTAGAAAATCTTCATAGAGAATCTTCATAGACAATGAACCTGAACCCTTCCAACCAAGCACAGCACTTCATTCACTGCATGTAAACTAAGTTACTGTAATTTAAATTTATGTACTACTAACAATAGTATTGCAAAAAAAAAAAAAAAAACAAAAAAAAAAAAAAAAAAAAATCTATAGGCTGATTTGTGTACAGTTGATTTTTGTGCATTGACTTTCCTGTAGAATTTCCTGTACAATCTGGTAGATACTAAAAGATGGCAACAACAACAACAAAAAAACCTAGGCAGCAGTATCGTTTTGACAGAAAAAGGAGCAACAAAAACACTTAGTGATCTTTAAAGACAAACTCAAGTTTCAGTCATGCAGTCATGTTGTGCTGCTGCGGCTCTGTCTGTTATTTGTTGTTTATTCCCTGCTGCTCTGAGTACAGGGTCAAGTGTTGGGGTCCATCGCCCGACCTCTACACTCACCACCCTGGTCCAGACGTCCGACCACTGTAACCTCTCACAACAAAGACCAATCTCAACTGCATCTCTCTGATCCCTGTGACGTCATCTCTGAGCACGGCAACAAGACGACGACCCTCCTTTCGCCTTACATCTGATTCCTTCGGTTGTCACCGCAGCACTGAGACAGAGACCAGGGGTCACTGGTCCGGGCCTGGGGTTCAACTGTGGATCCATTTACTATGAGCAAAACCTAACACCTAAAACCTAACACCTAATCACCCTAACACCAGCGCACTCTCGTTTGCTGGCGTTCACAGGTATCTTGCAACTGTGACTGTTGCAGGAAGTGTGAGGTTCACCACTTGTTGTTGCTTTTCCGCACGCAGCAAAGGTGACACGTCACGTTGCTGCTTTTGTAGGGTAGCCCTGTAGATCTCGTGAGCTGCTCAACGCCATGTTTGCCATTTTGCAATTGTGTTTTTCAAGTAGTGTTGATGCATCTGCAGATCTACTGGAACCAACACCTCCTGGCAATCGCCGCACGTTCTGCCGCAATCGTCCACCAGATAACATTGACACACAAATAATTAAGTCACTTGCGATATATAAAAGGAAATAGAAAATACAGAGGGTTGCTGCATATGACCACAACATAAAAGAAAAAAACATAAAAATGTGTGTTTTATTATGTAAATTCTAAGGCCGAAGAATCATCGGAATCGCGTCGGTGTCAGAGATCAGGCAGCAGCTGTGATGATTTTACTGTTGAGCGCAGAGGTGGGACCAAGTCATTGCTTTGCAAGTCACAAGCCAGTCTCAAGTCTTTGTGCTCAAGTCCGAGTCGAGTCCAAGTCAAAACAGGCAAATAAATACAAGTCAGGACTGAAAAGTGTCAAGTCAAGTCCGAGGTGTCGTTTCTGTTTTGAATCCTTTTTGAGTCATTTTAAAAGAAATAATAATATATTTAAACAGATCACTTTTTGGAGTTTGGAGAAAGTCTCGAGTCTTGTCGAGTCAAAGGGCCCGAGTCCAAGTGAAGTCACGAGTCACTGATGTTAAAGTCCAAGTCGAGTTGCAAGTCTCTTTACATTTTGTCAAGTCGAGTCTAAAGTCATCAAATTGATGACTCGAGTCTGACTCGAGTCCAAGTCATGCGACTCGAGTCCACACCTCTGGTTGAGCGTGACACACTCAACACAAGTGTTGATTCTTCTTCAGCTCCAGACACTCCCTCACATGACTTGCATCACACTTAATCGGGTAACTTGTTTGTGTGCTTCACTGACCCGGTTCTCAGAATGACTTGATCCAAACACGGGTTATTTTTATCTTTACTGTTCTCAATTTGTTTTTGTTTTTTTTACTTGCATGATTTTTTTACTCTATTAATATTTAATATTTGTAGTAATAGTTTTTCGGCCTGAAGGGGAAGGGTGGACAAGTGTTTAAGTGACTGGAGGTCATGTTTCCAGGCGCGTACACATGTTTCATTACTCTAGGATTAGTGGGGGGCGACCGAGCACTTCTGTATGCTCATGACAAACGTACCAAACAAGAGGGAGAGAGAGAGAGAGAGAGAGACTGACAGAGAGGCTAAGATCAAACACGACACTGTTATATGATTCAATAATAAACCCGACCTCATTCCTGTGAGTCATACACACGCCAACACATTATGTTTTCTTTCACAGACAGGGGAGCAGAAAGAAAGGGAAACTGAAAAGAGCAAATGTTACTACCTCTGCAGAGATACGTCTGTTCCCTCTGTTCCTCAGACAAACACCTGTAGGCGACTGCACCTCATCGGAAGACGTTCCCGAAGCGTGGTCGCTCTCCCCGTCTGACCCCATTTTCAGGTTCTCGTGAACAATGTCTGCAGAAACAGAGAGGAAGAAGGAGGAGAGGTTGAGTGGGACGTATAGAGCAGGCATTCCGTGCCTCTCCGTGAGCCTCGGTATCAGTCTGGTATTGACTCAAATGTTCCGCCTTAACCAAAAACAATTTGAAAAGTCTCTCCTTTAATTCATTAAATCTCGTTGGTACTAAACACAGATGCTGTAATGGCTTCATCAGGTTTGACAAACACTGCAAACGACCTACTTCCGGGCCTGAGACAAATCCACAAAGTACACTATAATTTTCATTAATGTGAAGAATAAACAGTTGTTTCTCCTCCAGGCCATGGGTTAATGTTCATAAAATGGAATCTGCTGTAGGTTTAAATACGGTGTGTGTGAGCGTTAAGAGTCTAACAGACAACATAATTACATTTCTAGATCTTTTTTTTTTTTTCAATAACTTGCTTCACTGTGGGTCCTGCAGTAAAATCTAAAGGGCTGCGGGGACAGTCTCTGGCTGCAGTAGCATGCAGTGATGCATCACTCAGGGTGCGTATGCTCGGCGTACACGCATCCATCAGCGACAGCAATAAAACAGCTAAGAGGTTTTATTATTATGCTGGCACAGGTTGTGACTGTGCTCCGTTTCTAACAACATGGCACTGTATTCCCAACACGTGTTGAACTTTTTTTATTACTTTGCATGACTTTATCACCTGGCAAAACACCAAAAGGTAAAGCAATGCCCGTTAAAGCACTCGTTTGTTCTCGTTGCTTTAGCTGATCCGTGATCTGTTTAAAAAGGTTTTTTTTACGTGTTGATGATCATCAACGGGGAGACGAAAGAATGAGTCGTTAGAAAGCAAAATAATCACCTAGACATTTAAAATCCTACGTTAAAGAGTGGACAATGTACTGACTATGGCAATACTATCTAAGGACAAATTCAATATCCAATATTTAAAATGTTTTGGTATCACGTGAGTGGAACCAAAACCTGAAAAATAAATACAAAAAAAATTAATGATTACTTTTTGTACTTTACATTTTGGTATTGTAGTACACCCATCATTGTGCTAACTTAACCAGAAAAGGTACTGGTGCCTGATGATGTGTTTATTAATTTATCACCGAGAATGAGAAATGCAGCCTGTGTGTTTATTGTGTGTTTCTCACCTAGGCGACTGCCATTGCGAGGCATGACCATGAGGGAGCCCCGTCCTCATCC